AAGACCGAACGCCGGATGGCTTGGTTTTTGGTTTGGGCGAACTCCAAGTGTTTTCAGGCAGGTTTAAGACTTAAGAAAATCATTTTGAATATGCAAAAAATATTTTGATGAAATGAGCCTAGAGAGCCATGTTTTGAAGGTTTGTGCCGGTCTTGATCACATTAAAACCGACTCAATACAATTCTAAGTCTTCGTTCTTGATTCTTGGTTCTTGGTTCTCAGTTCATCATGCCATGTTCCTTTGCCTTGGTTTTGCTCAGTTTAACCTTGTTATTGTCACGGCGGTTTGGCATTATCAAAACCTGTCATAAAACGAACACGGTTTAGTACGACATAGGCGTAAACCCGTGTTCCAACAAGAGTGACGATGCATGAGAGAGGCCGAGGAAGCATGAGACGCCAATTTTGAGCGTTTGACCCGAGGAGCACGAACGGGGACTTCCGTGTTGGCATTTTCTTCGGCTTCGGCTTGGGGTGCTCGTGAAGTGGAAGGTAAAGATGACATGGAACGCCGAGGACCATACTCCGCTCGTGTCGCCTCATCAAGATTTCTGAACTCTTTCTTCATGTAGTACTCCTCTCCAATCTTTACAAGGCCACAATAGCCAAGGCACTCCGCGTCAAGATAGCGGACACGAGAAGGGCGCACCTCATGAATTTCCCTCTTGGCAAAGATGTGAGTAAGAAGCATGCCACAGGGTTTGTTTAGGCGATTGGAGCATTCGTGCATGTGTTTAAGGATGGTGGAAGGAAGATTGATTTTCTTGTGAGTGAGGAGCCAATACAAGAGAGTGCATTCATAAACCCCAACTTGGTTATCTTTGTTAAGGACCGGGATGACATTGTCTTTGAGGATTTTAAGGAGGATGAACCTATTTGCGGGTAAGTCTTGGACATTTGGCCTACGAAGAAAGTAGTGCGGGTCCTCAAAGACATGGTCAAGGGCAATGTTATTTAGCACTCGGAGGCAAGAATCAGAGTTAAAATCTCGTGAGTCGGTAATCCACCCCTTTTTGCAATAGGTGGAGACTCCTTGACGCCCTAGGTGAAACCATTCGGAAAGGTTTTGGGTGTTGAATCCGAAGGTTTTGCCGACTACAATGGCGGTAATGGAAGGGTCTTGTGGATGATATTTCAATGAAGAATAGAATTGATGAACAAGTTCTGGGTAAACGGGGGCTTGGAGTTGAAGATATAAACTCCAACCTTGTTCTTGAATGAGTTCAAGAACGGCAACGGGGATATCATCTTGTTTTAGGGTTCTCCCGTCAATGATGTGTGGGTCGACGAAAGCCTTGAACCCATCTTGAACATCGGGTTGAGCATTGGTTTGAACATTGGAAACAATTTCACTCATTTTTGGAGATTTGAGAGAATTGGTAAAATTGGACGAATATGGGGAAATTTATACCTAATGTACGAATTGAGGAGAGTATTTGATGAAATTGAACCTAATGTTTGAAGAAATTGAAGAATTTGGATTAGGAATTACCTTTGAAGAGACAGACGACGTACGGGAGAGAGAAACGGGAGAAGACGCCGGGAGAGAGGTCGTTGTAACTGGTTGAACCGAAAGTGGAAAAATGGAATGAAAATTAGGGTTTTAATGAAGATTGACCTGACGAGACAGTCGGTACCTAGGTACCGTGTTAACGGTACCTTGGTACCGTATATACGGTATGCCATACCGTGTCCAGGTGCCGTGTAATGCCAAAATCTCATTCTTCTCTGGCGGTACCTATTTAGGACGGGACCGGGGTACCGTTAGGGGTACCGTGCCTCAGCTTAATGTTTTGTTTCGACCTCTAGACGCGTGTTTTGAGCATTTGAACTTGATCATTTTATTTTTATGATGTAATGGGATAATAAAAGCCTTAAATTTCACTTTAACATTCCCATTTCCCGACAAATATGTAAAAATTGTTTTTCATCCAATGGTTTTGTAAAAATGTCAGCACTTTGTTCAAGTGTATTTACATATTCAATTTGAATGTCTCCCTTTGCAACATGATCACGTATGAAATGATGTCTTATTTCTATATGTTTAGTTTTAGAATGCAAAACGGGATTTTTGGAAATATTTATTGCACTTGAGTTATCACAAAAAATAGGCACTTTTGAAAATTTTAAATTAAAGTCACTTAGTGTTTGCATCATCCATAAAATTTGAGCAACACAACTACCCATAGCCACATATTCCGCTTCGGTGGTGGATAGGGCGACAGAGTGTTGTTTCTTAGATGACCAATACACTAGTGCATGACCTATGAATTGACATGTGCCACTTGTGCTTTTCCGATCAATACGACACCCGCCAAAGTCAGCATCACTAAAACCTATCAAACTTAAATTTGTATTCTTGGGATACCATAAACCCATATTGGTGGTTCCTTTGACATAACGAATTATTCGCTTGACGGCATTAAGATGTGATTCTTTGGGTGATGATTGGAAACGTGCACAAAGGCAAACGGAAAACGTGATGTCGGGTCTAGATGCAGTTAAATAAAGTAAACTACCAATCATACCTCGATATACCTTTTCATTTACGGGTTTTCCGCTTTTGTCGTTGTCAAGCTTTAAGGATGTGCTCTTTGGAGTCGGGTATGTCTTTGAGTCTTCAAGATTGAACTTCTTGACCAATTCTTTGGCATACTTGGTTTGACTAATGAAAATACCATCTCCAAGTTGCTTGATTTGTAGTCCAAGGAAGAAGTTCAAGTCACCCATCATACTCATTTCAAATTCGCTTGTTATAATTCCTGAAAATTCATTACATAAGGCTTCATTAGTTGACCCAAAAATAATATCATCAACATAAATTTGCACAATTATGAGATCTTTTCCTTTTGTTTTGACAAAAAGTGTGGAATCGATTATTTCCTTTTGCAAATCCATGTGAGATGAGATGTTCGGTAAGCCGCTCATACCAAGCTCTAGGAGCTTGTTTGAGTCCATAAAGGGCTTTATGAAGTTTAAAAACATGATTTGGAAAATCGGGATTTTCAAAACCGGGAGGTCGTTCAACATAAACTTCTTCTTTCAACCACCCATTTAGAAAAGCACTTTTTACATCCATTTGAAAAAGTTTGAAATTAAGAGCACTTGAAAAAGCTAATAACATTCGAATAGATTCAAGCCTAGCAACCGGAGCAAGAGTTTCATCATAGTCAAGTCCCTCAACTTGGCTATAGCCTTTAGCAACAAGTCGACTTTTATTGGTGATAATAACACCATTTTCATCAAGTTTGTTTCTAAAGACCCATTTAGTGCCCACAACGGGTCGGTTTCCGGTCTTTCGACTAGTTCCCAAACCTTGTTGCGTTCAAATTGCTCAAGCTCTAGTTGCATGGATATAATCCAATCACTATCTTTTTGTGCATCTTCTACGTTCTTAGGTTCAAATTGACTAACGAACGCATAGTGTGCACAAAGATTGTAATTGTTCCTAGTTCTAACTCCCTTTTCAATAACTCCAATGATATTGTCTCTTGGATGATTCTTCAAGTGTCTGTATGCCTTCGGTAGTTCCTTCTTTGCTTTTTCTTCTTCTTGTGCAGGAATTTCCAGGATTTCTTCTTCCTCTTCTTCTTCATTTGAACCTGCAATTACCTTACTCGACCCAAAGGGATCGGTTTCATCAAATTTTACATGCATAGATTCTTCTACTTTATGATTTGATTTATTATATACCCTATAGGCTTTACTATTTGTTGAATAACCAAGGAAAATTCCTTCATTTGATTTAGGTTCAAATTTGCCTGAATGATCCTTGGTATTCAAAATATAGCATTTACACCCAAAAACATTGAAATAGGAAATATTTGGTTTTCTACCTTTCCAAAGTTCATAGGGAGTCTTTTTAATAATAGGTCTAAGTAATACCCGGTTAAGAACGTAGCATGCCGTGTTGACTGCTTCTCCCCAAAAATATTGAGGTAGGTTGTTTTCATTCAACATGGTCCTTGACATTTCTTGCAACGTCCTATTTTTCCTTTCAACAGCTCCATTTTGTTGAGGTGTTCTAGGAGCCGAAAAGTTGTGAGAAATACCGTGTTCATCACAATATGTCTCAAAATCGATATTCCGGTATTCTCCTCCTCTATCACTTTTAATGGAGGTTATTTCATAACCTTTCTCATTTTGGATTCTCTTGCACAACTTAACAAACGCATTAAACGCATCATCTTTATTGGCAAGCAATATAGTCCAAGTATAACGAGAAAAATCATCTACAATCACAAAAGTAAAACTAGCTCCACCTAGGCTTTGAACGTCTACAGGCGCAAATAAATCCATATGTAATAGTTCAAGTGGCCTTGACATTAAAATCATTTTTATGGGCTTAAATGATACTTTATGTTGTTTTCCAAGGGAGCAAGCATCACAAAAACGAAAAGCAGGTATGCTCATTTTTGGTAACCCAACAACAAGTTCTTTTGAGTAAAGTTTTCTCAAAAGATCATAACTAGCATGTCCTAGTCTACGGTGGCATAATGTTGAAAATTCAAGCAAAGTCGTAAGACAAGTGATTTTTGAGTTGCTTAAGTCATTGGAATTGAACTTGTATAAATTTCCATCTCTTTTAGCCTCAAAAATGATTTCATCTTTATTTTGGCCATATAAAACGCAGGAATTTGAATTAAACTCAATTTTGTGGCCATTGTCACAAAGTTGGCTTATGCTAATTAAGTTAAATTTTAGGCCATCAACAAGATAAACATCATTTATTGAAAAATCACTTGAAATACCTATCGTACCTTTACCAATGACTTTCTTCCGGGATTTGTCTCCAAACGTTACATGTCCATGACTTTTCTCCTTGAGATTTGTGAACCATCCTCTTGTTCCGGTCATGTGCCTTGAACATCCACTATCCACAACCCAAGTGGTATTTTTCACCTAGTCAAAACGGAATTTACTTTTGACTTAGGTTTGGGGTTCCAATCGACGAATACCCTATGTCGATATACGGGTTTCGTCTTGGTTGGTTCCGGAAGTGGTATATGGACTTTTCGTTTTTCATCATAATAAAAGAAATAGTATCCACCATCATTTCTTTTATTTTCCTGCAAAAAGGGTTTCTTTTGATATCCAATATTCTTGGATTCCGACCGGTTAGA